AAATGTTCATTAAAACTAATAAAATTTAATAATAATAATAAAAAAAGGAGAAAAAAAACCAGAATATACTCATTGATAGGTAACAATTGCTCAGAAAGCAACCTTAAAGAATCAAGGCAAAAAAAATCTATGCAAACATGGGAAGCAGGTATCTTTGCAAAAACGTAGGAACAGTGAATGTTAAGGGTCTCAAAGTTTGGGACCTTTTTGCTTGGAATAGTCAAGAAAGAGGAAAATGGTCAATAAGACAGAGTTGAAGATGAAGCTGGAGAGAAGACATACATCAAGTTTTGTATTATAATATGTGATACAGATTCTGCATTTTCTTGAATAAGATAGGAAGACATTTGCAAGTAGCAAAATAAGGGGATATGTTTTTAAAACACTGCTATGGTTCCTGCAAAATCACTATTAAACTAAAAACTGCCTGTTCCTTTTCCTTATGGAAAAGTTGACATTACTTTTGAATATATTTATTACTGGTGCTATGTACAATTGAGTCAGTATTGACTTAGTTAACCCTCCAGGGTTTTCAGAGCCAGACACAGGAGGAGACAGCTCATCTTTCTCCCACGTATTTCTTACCACTATACCACCAGTACTCCTTGTATGATATCTAGGTATAGAGAATATAAAAGCCAAATTCAACTTTTTAGGCTTATACCAGTTCTTTTGGGTAATAATAACAACATAATTTCACTTTTAAAAACATTTTGTTTTAAGCAAAAGACTAATTCTCATCCCACCTCAATTTATAGTGATTTAAATTAAGGCTTTAAAAAAAAATAATCTGGACTCGTGTTAGTGTTTACAGAGAAGCTGAATTTCAAAAATTTGTATTAATAGTTAAACAAAGTGTTCCAAAGTTCTCTTAAGTCCTCTGACAGACTGTAGGATAACTGTTTTGTTAATATATTTGTATGAATGATTTAAATATGAAAAGATGAGTAAAGAAAATTTTACCCATAGGTGAAGTTTTATCACTTGGTGGTTGGTAGGTTTGAGTCTTTGACTTTTCAGTTAGCTGCTGAGCTCTTGATTGCAGTCAAGACCCTTCCATATATGGGATACTAACTCTGGGATGTGGCCAGGAGGGACCAGTCCTTGAAGAAGAACATTATCTTGTAATAGTGGAGGGACAGCACAGGAGAGGAAGGTCCCAGATGAGATGGATTCACACAATAAATGGGGTCATAAAGTAGGTGTGTTGGAGACAGTGAGACTGGCTCAGGAAAGAGTAGGGTTCAGAGCTATTATACATAGGGCTCTATGAGTTTCAAGTGACTCAATGGCATATAACAACTAGGGCAAACATTTGATTAACTGCTATTGCATATGAACCATATCAATCTACTCTGATTTATGTACAAATTCATTTAAACATTGATTTAGGAATAGACCTACTCATAATCAGGGGACTATCTTCATTAGATGATTTCAAGTCGTTACTAAGTTTCTACCTATTTAATGCATAGTAAATAAGTTGATCTATATACTGATATTTCCATATGCTTTTGGAAAGATCATTATACATTTGAGAAAGTTTCCACTGTCTTTTACTTAATTTTACACTTCACATAAATGTAGTATTATTACCTCTGTGAAGAGATGAGCATCTTCAGAAAGCATATTATAATCCTGTGCACATTTCTTTGCAGAATTCTGTAAAAACTTCAGGAATTCAGTAACTTCTTCATTCACATGCTTTTTCATATCCTAATTTTAAAAGAACAGAAATGTCTTAGGATAAAGTTGGTTAAAAAATGATCACTTCTCAAATATTGTTCTAACTTTTTCTTAAAGTATAATGAAAGGATCACATGCAGAGCAGAAACTACAGAGAAAAAGTTAATAAAAATTATTATATAATAATAATCATTGTCATCAAGTCTTGTTATCAAAAATGCCACAAAAATAAGAAAAGCAAATGACTAACATTGCAATACATGTGTGTGGATTAATGAGTTTATAAAGCAAAACCTATGAGAGAAAGTACTTTATGGACTGTTTGTTTTATCAGCTTTGCAAGTTTTCTGCCTTTGACAGGGTGGAGTCATACCATGATAATGATTTTACTACAAAGACATCCAACAGAGAGAGGATCATCAAAATCACTTGGAATTTAGAAGTTATTTCAATGTCCAGTCAGAAGGTAGTAGCTCCATAAACTAGGCAGTTGAGACTGCTACTATGTAAGCAATCAATTGGAGGGATATGCTCAGAAATGGGCAAAATGGTTACATTTTAATAGAGCCAACAAAAGAATTATAGCACTCACCACCTGCCATCAAATAAACTCCTTATTCAGTACTGTTAATATGACTATACCTAAAAATCTAGGAGGCAGTCACTTTTATTGGCAATAAGAAATTTTAATTTCTTATTTTTACTGAAAGTGAAGAGTAGAATACATACCAAGTACTGCAAATAGTCATTCTTACTTGTTGCAACATCTCTGGAATTTGCAGGAACTTTTGCATATTTAATCAACAAATCCACATAACTCCTCTGCTCTCTCTGTGAGAAACGAGAGAAACGAGGATAAGGAACTCTTGGTTTTGGAAGAAGAACCATTCCAACTGTAGTTTTAACTTTTTCTTTTGCTTGAGCTGCTGAACTAACTGCCGGCTCATTTTCTACTGAATTTGCTGAAGCGTTCAAATTTTCGCCTATACGTCTGGAAAAAAACAATAAAATACAATTTAGAAATATGTGCTTTTTACATGAAGATTACTATCATAGAACTTCATGATTCTCAATCACCAGGGAGAATATAGTGTGATTAACACAGTAAATTCTAGATTATTATCTATCTCTGCCACCTGCATTTTGACGTTCATCTACTTAGTGTAGATTAAGTATTCTGCAGGATTGGATCACATTGCAAACCTACCTTCAGCTCCTTGATGGAGGGGAAAAGGCACACATATGAAACTAGCTACTCAATTTGCAAAACTTTCTTACTGAAAAGAGGTAAATCACTCTCACTAATTAACATGTAGGTACTTTATGATAATATTTTACTACAATGCAAGTTTTGTTTTGTTTTCTAATGCCATTTGAGCAAGTTTTATTTTGGTGGGGTTTTGTTCTGTTCTGGTCACCCAGAACTTCCATCATTGTGCTTAAATTCTTCAGTAAGATCCCAGTATGGTAGGTTAAAGTCACTAAGGGAAGGTTCTGGAGGGGTCAAAATCTTGAAAGTTCATTGCAATTCTATGATTTGTGACTTCTACCTTCATAATGAAAAAAAAAAAACCCACCAAAAAACAAACCAAAAACAACAAACCAACCCCAAAACAACAAATCCAAAAGAAACAATATTGAACACTGTGTACCTTATTTTATAAGGAAAGTAGTAGTGGTTCTAGAAAAGTTGTACAGTAATTTCACTTTTGGCCATACATTTGAAATATGGCTGCACCGCAAAAATCTTTATGTGTTATATGCATGGAAAAGAGAAATCTTAGCATTATCTGTAATGAACTGTAGTAGAGGAGGAAGCAACACCAAGAGAACCTGTTACTGTATTTGTTTATGAAATGTTATTCCTCAGTTCTGGAGTCCATGGGTAGTATGAAAACACTCAGTTAACGGAAAGGTAGGACAAATGGCACCTTAGAAGAAAGGCCTTGAAAAAAAGACCTGGTGATCTACTCTGAAAAATGAGCTACTGAAAACCGCATGGAACATAGTTCTACTCAGAAACATAAGGTTGCCGTAAGATTTTGTTTGCCACCAACCTGATTACCCTCAATTTTAAAGACTATCATTTTACCATCCCTTATTACGGTAAATAGATACAAAGTTTCTTACTGTGTCAGTATTTAAAATATATTTCCATTTTAAGTATTCAATGTAATCCAAATTTTAAATAGATTTTAAAAATTCAATTGAAAAAGCTACATTTCCTTAGGCAGCAAGGAATGACAACAACTCAAATTTCAAACACAGTAAATATAATAATGAGTTGGCTGAAACTAAATAGGAATCTACAGAGGAAGGGAAAGTAAGTAGATGGACTTTGTTGATTAATTCTTGCTCCATTCACAAAAATTTTAGTCATCACTATGTGCCAATCCTATAAGCTAGATATACCTCTAATATTGAACAAAATACAATTTTTCTCTAGGATGTTACAATCAAATATTTATGTTATGTTACAATCAAGTATTTATGTATATTAACCTCATATGACTATGGAGATCTCAGGTTTCCAAATACAACATACAGAACGCATATCTGAGAAAAATTCTAAACGTTATTATGGTCAGAGATGAGAATAAAGGAGGAGAAACAGCCACAGCAACGATTCTCAACCTTCCCAATATTTATTTCCCAAAGATACTGTGGAAGCTTGTGAAGTGTGGCTGCACCTGAGCCATCATAATTAAAGGAGAAAAGGAAGAAAATAAAAGCTGGTGAAGAGTACTAGATGGAATACTATTATGTTAGGTGCCAACAAGTTGGTTTTGACTCATTGTGACCCTATGTACCGCACAAAATGAAACGCTGTTCTCTCCGGCGCTATTCTCACAACAGCACATATATTTGAGCCCAATGTGGCAGCCACTATCATTCTCACTGATACTGTCCTCTCATCAAGAGTATTCTGCTTTTTTCACTCTACCTTTGCCAAACATGATGTTCCTATCAGGAGATTGACCCTTCCTTGTCTCTAAAATAAGTGAGACATATTCTATTCTTGTCTCTAAGAAATATACAAGACAGATTTGCTTGTTCCTCTGGTGGTTCAAATGCAACAATTTTTTTTCTATTGTTCTTTTTTGGCTGCCCAGCTTTCAAATCTGTATGAAGTGTTTGAAAAGATCATTGTCAGGCACATTTTAGTTTTGAAGGTGGTATCTTTGACTTTTATTCTTTTAAAGAGGTCTTCTTATTAAATTTATTTTTAATCTTATACTGGTTAACTTACAAAGTTCATATGTATTGTTTTTCATACCGGATTTCCCCATTTCCTTCACCCCTGCCTCCACCCATCAAATGATGCGACCCTATGATTAACCCGCCCATCCTCACTGTCACCACCCTCCCCAACCATTGGATCTTCACACTCATTTTACAATAATGGTATTTTTCATTATGGGATTGAGTTTCAAAATCATTGCTCCTGCATGCTGACTAGTATTCCATCACATAAACATATCATAATTTCTCAATCCATTAAATTGTGGCGGGACACTTTGGCTGTTTTTATGTTCTCGTGATGGTGAATAATGCTGCTATGAACACTGGTGTACAAGTATCCTTTTGTGCCTCAGTTTTCATCCTCTCAGGGTATATTTCAAGCAGTGGAATAGCTGTGTCATATGGAAATTCTATGTTCAGCTTTTTGCGGAAGCATCAAATTGCTTTCCAGAGTGGCTGCACCATTTTACAATACCCTCAACAATGTATAAGAGTTCCCATCTCGTCGCATCCTCTCCAGCATTTCAGACTTGCTATCCTGTTAAACTTTGCCGCTGCTACTGGAGGGAGATGGTATCTCATTGTGGTATTACTCTGCATCTGTTTTACTGACAGTAATTCTGAGCATTTCTTTATGTATGTTTGCCATCTGAACATCTTCCTCAGTGAGTAGTCTTTCCATGTCTTTTCCCCATTTTGTAATTGTGTTATAAGTCTTTTTCTTGTGGAGGCCCTGTAGGATTCTGTAAACTTTGGATTTGAGACCTTTGTCTGAGATGGGATTGCCAAATGTTTGTTCCTAGTCAGTAGGCTTTCTTTTCACTCTGCTGGAAAATGGTTTTGAGGGGCACAGGCATTTAATCTTTAGAAGGTCCCATACATCAATTTTATTCTCTCCAGATTGTGCATTTCTGTTTGTATTTGGTAGTCTCCTAAAGAGTTCTTTTGTAGGAGATCTGTCCAATGCAATACAGTATTTGATTTATTTTAACTACTGCTTCCATGGGCATTGACTATGATTTGAACAAATTAAAGCCTTGGCAGCTTCAATACTTTGTTTATCATGACGCAGCTTATTAGTCCAGTTGTGATGATTTTTATTTTATGTTTAGGTGTAATCCTTACTAAAGGCTATAGTTTGTTTTTTTTACCAGTGAGTGCTTTAAATCCTCTTCACTTTTTTGCAAGCAAGCAAAGTGGTATAATAGTATGTATTCTACACAATAAATTAACCCACTGCCATTGAACCAATTCTGTAGAACACAACAGAACTCCTCATAGGGCTGTCAAAATTGTAAATCTTTACAGAAGCAGACTGCTTCCTCTTCTGAGGTTGATGGGTTCTAAGCACCAGGTTTTTGGTGAGCAGTGGGATTCTTTAAACACTGTACCAGTAGGATTCTATCTGCACAACGAAGAATTAAGGTCTGTACAACTTCCAATTAATAAGCAAATCATTCAAGAAGCTGGAATGTATGAAGAAGAATGTGGCATTAGGAAAACTCATCAACCTCAGTTATGCAGATGACACAACCTTGTTTGCTGAAAGTGAAGACAACCTGAAGTACTTGCTCCAAAAGTTCAGACTGTCGCCTTTAATATGGATTAAATCTCAGTATCAAGGAAATAAAAATCCTCAACACTGAACTAACAGGCGACATCTTGATAGATAGAGGAAAGACTGAAGTTGTCAATGATTTCATTTCACTTGGATCTATAATCAATAATCATGGTAAGAACAGTCAAGAAATTAAAATACAAGTTATACTGGGAAAACCTGTTAGGGACCTCTTTAAAGTGCCAAAGAGCAATGATGTCAGTATATAGACTAACGTGTACCTGACCCAAGCTATTGTATTTTCAGTTGCTTCCTATATATCTTAAAGTTGAACAATGAATAAGTAATAAAGAAGAACCAATGCTTTCGAATTGTGGTACTGGCAAAGAGTACTGAATATCGCACAGACTGCCAAAAAGAACAATTCTGTCTGAGAGGAAATGCAACCAGGGTGCCCCTTGGAAGCAAGGATGGTGTAACTTCATCCCACATACTTTGGGCATCCTGTTAAGTGGGGCCGGCCCTTGGAAAAATACTTCATGATCTGAAAGAGAGGGTCAGAAAAAGAGCAGGAGGCCTTCTACAAGATAGAATAACACAGTGACTTTAACAATGGGCTCGAGCATGTGGAAATTGTAAGGATGGTGCAGGATTGGGCAAGGTTCAGATTTGTTGTTCACAGGGCACCAGGAGTTATAGTCAACTCAACGTGACCCAATAACCCTCAAAGATTCCTTCTTATGAGTCTGGTCTCTTACTATTGATGTTGTTGTTATTATTATTTTGTATGTGTGTACCATCAAAGCGGATCTGACTGGTACAAGAAGAGATCATCCCTCCTTCTCCAGCAGAGGATCTGGTGGATTCAAACCACATACCTCTGGGATTGCAGTGCAGCTTCTTGCCACTAGGCCACAAGAGCTCCCTGATGTTGTTGTTATGCGCCGTTGAGTCGTTTGCGACTCATAGTGATCCTATGTACAACAGCCTTAAACTCTGCTCTGTCCTGTGCCAATCACACCATCTCCAGTACACCCATCCCAATTGCCCCAGACACTGAATCAATCCACCTCACAGAGGTCCATCCCCTCCTGTGCTGTCCCTCCACCCTACCAAGCATGATGTCCCTCTCCAAGGACCGGTCTCTCCTCACAACATGTCCAAAGTATGTTAGATGGAGCATCAGAATCCCTGCCTCCAAGGAGCCACCCGGTTTGACCTTTACCAGGATGAATCTGTTTGTTTTCCTAGCAGTCCATGGTACTCCCAATACTCTTTTCCAGCACCACAGCTCAAAGGCATCAATTCTCCTTCTATCCTCCTTAGTCACTGTCCAACTCTCTGGTGCATAACAAGTGATTGCAAAGACCATGGCGTGTATCAGATGTACCTTAGTCTCCAGAGAGACACCATTGCTCTTCAGTACTTTGGAGAAGTCCCTAACAGCAGACTTTCCCATGGCAATATGTCTATATTTTATTCTCTTATTTTTCCATGATTCTGTAATGCTGTAGTTTAAGTGACTTCTCTTAAATCCAATGGTAATCATTTTAACTTGTCCATATAATTTCACATCTTCTCACACAAGATGTGTAGAATTTTTCATAAAAATTTCATTTCTTTTCACAAAATGTATATTTCTCTCCAAACATTTATCCAAATGACAACTAAATCAAAACCTTATATCTTCTACTGTAGGGCTGTTTATGTATTAAAATATTTAACATTTGAATATAAATTATTTTCCTTTTATTTAATCTTTTCTATTAAATTATTCATTACTATTTTATACTCATTGTTTTATTTAATATCTTATATAATTTCAAGAGGAGATTATATTGTTCTTAAAATATTTGTGGTTATTATTTATAGATTTCATTTCAAGCTAGTAAAGGAGGTGTTTATTCCTTATAAATACCTTATCAAAAGTAGGCTGGGTGTTTTGCCCGATAAAATTGACAATTGTAAAAACTAGAATTATGAACAGACAATGGGGGAGTAATAATCCATCTAAGAACAAACTGATTTTTTCCCCCAAATCATACAATATTAGAAAATGGTAACAATTCTAAAAGAAAAAAAAAATTTAAAAAAACCTAGGGCCCTAAATTAGAAAAATACTCTGATAGATAAGCTATGATTGAAAAACCAATCAAGAGAGTTGGTTAGTAAATGAGAAAGAAATCTGGAAAATTAAAATAAGGATACTTTAGGTTGGTTCTGAAACTAATCCAAGTGAAAGAAGACATACTTAGCTACTAAACTTTCTCCAATAACTGTATAAAAATAAGCATATTTTAGGTTAACAAAATGAATATTAACTGCTGATCTTGGGAGAAATGTATCACAGCAAATTGATTTCTCACTAAAAAATGTCTTGAGAGCTATTCAAACCTAACAGTACTGTGTCCGCAACTCTTAACAATGCTGCTTCACAGCTGTCTCTCTGAATATGAGAACATGTCTGTCCTTGTGGCACAAACTGGCAAATTTAATTAAGCTGCTGCAGCAACAAGATGCTGACTCAGATATGCCAGCATATGAATGTCAAGAGATTCCAGCAGTTTAAATTGGCTACATTCAGCAAAGAATGAAATGGCAGCACATCAAGATCATTTCAGTGTGCAGTACTGTCAAAATCTTCATCAGAGTGCAAACCAAAAGCATCTGACAGGGTTTCTCTATACACATTTACAGCATTATATTTTATTTCAGTTGATGGTTTGAAGTTTTTCTCCTTCATTTTGTCAACTACCCCTTTTCCTTTTTTGCTTAAAGTTTCTATTAAAAAAAAAAAGAGAGAATCCAAAACTTTTACTTTCTTGGGCTTTATGCCTATCATTGTGGATAATTTTTTAAAAGTAGGATTTGAGAATAGCATTTCTACTTTCTAAAATCTACTTATACCTCCTAAGTTTACTTTTCCATTACAAATTATAAAAGTGCCATATTTTTCTTTATATTTAAAGTTACTTTCCTTTTTGCTGACTGAAAATGTGTAATAAACTGATGGAATCAGAAATTATGAGTTATAATTAAAATTCATATAAAGAATGTACAGTAAAATATACACTGTTGCTATTTCTACATAAATGGCTAATAGAACATTTTAATTTCTCTTTTATTCTTAGGAGTACTTGCCAAATATTCAATAATAAACATAATTTTTTCCTGGTGTATCACAGAAAAGTAGAATAATACTAATAATTTTTCAACATTTTCCATGCATAATAAAAATATTATTCAAGATTTCCTCTCATTGCATGAAATTTATAGCCTATGCACAGTAAACGGATACTTTTTATCTTGGAATTAACACAATTCAAAGACTTTTTCTGTGGAGGGAAAAGCAATGAATAAAAAACTCACATTTTTTTAAAGCAGTGCAATTAAATGCATCAATATTTTCTTAAAGTGTGTTATAAATGACAAGAGAGTTAAGGCTAATAAAATCAATGCCTAGTTTAACAAATTACAGTAAATGTTTACATTTTCTATGATAAAAGGTAAAGTTACAAGATGCGACTTACAACCTCCAAAAACCCACTGGAGGGTTGGCTATGAATCAGTTGCAACTCAGTGGCCCAGCACAATATTAAATATTTTGCTCCACAGAAATCTAAAGGCGGCTTGTGGCATAGTGCAGGACTGCTAACTAAACAGCTGGCAGTTCAAAATCTACCAGTAGCTAGATTGAGGGAGGAAGATGGGCAGTCTCCTCCCACCAAGCCCCCAAAACCTGCTGGAGGGCTGTCATGAGTGGGAGCTGACACAATAACAGCAGGTTTGGGTTTTCTGGCTTTTTTCAAATTGGAACTCCAAAGAAAAACGAGTAAGTCTAAGAAAAAAAGACTTACAGGATGTGTTTCCAAGCAAATACCTTCTCTCTTACACAAAGTAAAGTCAAAACAAAGTGACAAACCTTTATAAAGTCTGGGTTATTTGCTCTTCTGGAAAAAGAATGGGACTGGAAAAGATCATTAAATTAATCAAGAAGCAACGTGAAGATGAAGAACAAAAGAACATTTAGTATCAAAGGATGAAGGCTGAGGTAAAGTTCATAAAATGGTTAAGATTTTTTTTCAGAGAGGTATGTTTATTAAATTCTCAGACAAAAGAATTGGTAGGTATGCCTTCATTAAAACAAACAAAAGCAATTCTTTAACTGGTAATAACTTCCAAGAAATTAGCTAATCCTAGGAAAAGATACAAGCTGGATAATAGAAGCAGTTAAAAAAAAAAGATGTCCACAGTGCAAGCTCCTTCCTATTAGTTAACTTTCTGCAGCTGACATCTGTAAAGACAGTTCGTATCCCTCTACACACAGTTTCCACACTGAACTGCACACACAGTAATTCTAAATTAAAATCACACACTCTGACAAGTAAATCTTTATGGGAAGATAATGTCCATCTTTCTTCCACAAAGAGGCAGATGGAGTCAAACTGACATCCTTTTGGTTAACAGCCTAAAAAGAAAAGCAATACATCGATACGGCTCCTTAATAATGGACTGTTGTTTATACCATCAAGTAGGAGCCAACCCATAGCTGACCCTCCAGAGGGTTTTCAGATGCATTAAATCATTCACAACAGAAGGAGATTGCCCATCTTTTTCCCATGAAACAAGTGGTGGATTTAAACCATGCGTCTTCAGGTTGGCAATTCAACTCCTTATCATCACTAGGCTCCCAGAGCTCCCTAATAATGGACTAGCTACATGAATACATCTCAATAATAAGGTAATATGCAATCAACAAAAAGACTGTGTATCTGTAGGCACAGATACATAACAAATATACAAAATACTTTTATATGAAAAGAACTAGCCTCTAAAGTAATCTTGTATGACCTCATCTGCGTCTTAAATGGTAAAAATGTCTATATATAAATCCATAAACCTACATATATAACTGTACATGTATAGAAAACGGTCTAGAAGAATATTTACACATACTATCAGAAAAACAGTCAAATAAATAATTACCTGTTAGAAATTACACATAGTTCTTTTAAACTTGGAGCCATCGAATGATCTTTATAATTTTCTCGAGAGAAAAATATCTTAAGGCCATTTTTAGGAGAAATATCCCTGTGAAACATAAGTAATTTATTTGCATTTGACAAGTTAAAAATCTTACCTTAGACTACAAAGTATAATACAATAGTAATTTATAACTTCTTACCCTCCCCATCCACCTTTCCCAATCACTTAATAATAATTTAAATTCCGTAAGATTATAACCTTAGATGTTTTATTTTTTGGACAGCTTCTAGCTTAGGCCTATTCTGAAATTTTCCAGTTCAACAATCAGTCTTGCTTTTTTTTAAAAGTACCCCATTACATAAATGTCAAAGACCTGAGAGTAAAGATAGGCTATTGTTATTGTCAAGTGTTGCTGAGGTGAGAGACTCATAGTGATACTATGAACAACAGATCTGAACCCTGTCCTGTGCCATCCTCATTAACTCTCACATAACTGAGCTCATTGCAGCACTCACTGTGTCAATCTGTCTAGTTAAGGGTCCTTCTATCTCACTGTCCACCCCACCTTTCCAAGCATGATGTCCAAGGAATGACCTCTCCTGGCAACAGACTCAAAGTATGTGAGTCAAAGCTTTGTCATCTTTGCCACCAAGCAGCACTCTGAATGCATTTTTTCCAAGACATATCTTTGTTGTTTTGGTAGTCCATGGGATATTCAGTGCCTTCTCCAACACATAGCTCAAAGACATTGTCCAGCTCTCCAATGCATAGCAAAGAACTGAAAAGACCATGGCCTGAATCACGTGTACCTTAGTCTTCAAACTGATATCAGTGCTTCTCAATAATTTGGAGAGGTTCCTGAATGCAGACTTTCCCAGTGTAAAACATGATAATGAAAGAGGATAGAATGAAGTATAATGAAGGGCTGTCAGGGGCAGGGCTCACCACTGGCTGCAAGGTATAACATTAAGACACTTTAAAGCTCAAAGAAAATCCTTCTCAACTTCTTTTTATTGCCATGTATTATTTATTTTTATGTATATATTTATTGTTACCCATGGTGGACAGTATTGGGTGGAACTCCCCGATTAAAACAAGCTTGGAAGCAGGAGTGGCATCCACTTCCATAATAGCTTGCCTCCAGAAACCCTATGAACCTGGACAAAGGATGAAAGTTCCCAAGTGTTGAGGATTTTCATTCAGAGGGTCGCTATGAGTCGCCTACGACTCGACAGCACTTAACAACATATTTATTGTTGGTATATACAACATATACTACGTGAAGAAGAGAGCAAACTGTCATTACAAAGAAAGAAGCAGAAGAAAACACCAAAATGGAAGTCAGAAGACATTCTGAAAATTGCACTAGGGTGTCGAAAAGCCAAAACAAAGGGAAGCAATGTTGAAGTAGAAGAGATGAACAAAAAATTTCAAAGGGAAGCTTCAGAAGATAAAGCAAAGTATTATAACAATGCACAAACCTGAAGTTGGGAAATAAAAAGGGAACAATTAGCCTGGCAGTTCTAAAGTTGAAAGAGATTCTATGGGCAACATTTTGGATGATCCAGGAAGCATCAAGAGAAGATGGAAGTAATATACAGAGTCACTGTACCAAAAAGAATTGGTTGATAATGAAAAATTTCAGGAAGTACAATATGAACAAGTGCCAACAGTAATGAAGAAAGAAGTTCAAGTTGCATTGAAGGCACTGGCAAAAAAGAAGGCCCCAGTAACTGCTCAGCTACCAGCCGATCTTGTCAACTAATAGACCCAACAATGGACATCCTCACCAGTATATGCCTAGAAGTTTGGAAGACAGTTCAGAGACTACATTTGGTTCTACAGTGTCAACGGCATATAAAAAATCTACAGTGTCAACGGCATATAAAAAATCTACAGTGTCTCAATAAATTTTATGGCAATGGTAAAGGATAAAATGCATACCTCCTAAGACCTACCCTATAACTATCCAAAAAAATGTTAACTTCTGGCTAGTATATTCTTAATGCATAACTAAAATAAAATACCCAATACCACTGAGTTGGTTCTGACTCAGTGATCCTCTATCAGGTTTCCAAGTCTATAAATCTTTTTATGAGCAAACTACCAATCTTTTTCCTGCAGAGCAACTGGTGGATCTGAATTGCCAACCTTTTATAGTATGCAAAAATTTAGGCATTTTGCTCCTTACTACTTCTTACTATTGACACAGTGGTGAAGTATCTGCTAATCAAAAGGGTGGTGGCTTGAATTCAACAACTGCTCTACAGGAGAAAGACGTGTCAATTTGCCTCCATAAGATTGTTGTTGTTGGGTGTTCTCAAGTCTAGTATGACTAACAGCAACCCTATGAACAATAGAGCTGAATTCTGTCCTACCCTGTACCATCTTCATCATCCATACACACTTAAGCCCACTGCTGCAGACACTGTAAAAACCCTTCTTATTGAGGATCTTCCTCTCCTTCTCTGAGCTTGTATTTTTCCAAGCATGATGTCTCTTTCTAAGGAATACTGATATTCTTGTGTGCTGTCGAGTCAACAATGATGGAAGACCAGAGGAGTTGTGGGATGACATTAAGTTGTCATGCATAAAAAGAGCAAAAGGTGATTATAAAAACAGAGGAGAAAGGAAAAATAAAAATGGATGTCAGAAGAGATTTTCAAAATTTCACTAGACCATTGAGAAGTCAAAACAAAGGGAAAAGATGCTGAAGTAGACAAGGTGAGCAGAAGATTTCAAAGGGCATCCCAAAAAGGCAAAACAAAATACTAAAATGGAATGTGCAAAGAACTGGAATTGGAGAATAAAAACTGGAGAAGATGCGTGGCTCAAGATGAAGGAACTGAAAACAAGTCAAGTCTTAAGTTGCAATACTGAGAGATCCTATAAGCAAAATCCTGAATGAACGAAGAAGCATCAAAAGAAGATGAAAGGAATACAAAGTGTCACTATACAAAAAAGGATGGGTTGACACTGAAATATTCCATAAAGTGCCATATCATAAAGAGTCAATGATAATGAAAGAATAAGTTCAAGCTGCACTGAGGGCTTCAGCAAAAACAGGACCTCCAAACCCAACTATGAAATATTATCTCACCCCAGTAAGAATAGCAAAATTCAACAGAACAGCACACATCAAATGCTGGAAAGACAGACTGGGAAAAAATAGTTGGTAACAATAATATCAACACAGAGAGAGAGAGAGAGAGATCAGCTGGCCCAGTGGACAGAAAGCGATGCTACCAAGCCAAAGGTGGGTGACTTTTAATCCACGGCCCTCAGGACTGTCTTTCATTGTTTTTGTTCAAAAATTCCTCTAGGTCGTATAGCCCTGGTGTGTCCACTTGCTGTACAGAGGTAACTTGTGGTTGCTGTGAGGCTGAACACTGTGACACTGATGTGTCAAATGCGTTAATGGTTGGCTACCCAATGCGGACAGAGAGTGGGGTGGAGCTCCCCAATTAAAACAAGCTTGGAAGGAGGCATGGCATCCACTTCACAAGAGCTTGCCTCCAGAAACCCTATGAACCTGGAGAGAGGATGAAAGGCACCCAAGTGTCAAGGACTCTCCTTAATAGGGTCGCTATGAGTCCCCTGCCACTGGACGGCACTTAACAACAACAACGACATGTCAGATAAGGGACTTACATGTAGAATTTATAAAATACTTGAGCACCACAACAAGACAAAGGTAAACTACAAACTGAAAAATGGGCACAGGATATGAACAGACACTTCATCAAAGAAGACATTAGATGGCCAACACACACATGAAAAAATGTTCAAAATCTTTATCTCTAAGAGAGATGCAAATCAAAACAACTATATCGGGGAGCTCTGGTGGCCTAGTGGCAAGAAGCTGCACTGCAATCCCAGAGGAACACGGTTCGAATCCACCAGATGCTCTGCCGGAGAAGGAGGCGCAATATCCTCCTGTACCAGTCAGATCTGATTTGATGGTACACGCACACAAAATAATAAAAAAAAAATTAAAAAAAAAAACAAAACAAAACAAAACAACTATATCATCTCACCCCAGTAAGAACAGTAAAATTTAACAGAACAGCAAACAACATATACTGGTGAGGGTGTGGAGAAACTGGAACCCTTATTCACAGTTGGTGGCAGTGTAAAATAGTGCAACCACTATGGAAGGCTATATGCAGCTTTCTCAAAAAGCTGCAAACAGAAATGCCATTTGACCCAGCAATTCCACTACCAGGAATACCCTAAAGAAATCATAACTGCCACCCAAACAGAAACATGCACACCTATGTTTATTTCGGCTTTGTTCATAATAGCAAAGAGTTGGAAACAACCTGTGCACATCAACAAACGAATGGATAGAGAAGCTCTGGTGTATTCACACAATGGAATACTATGAAGCATTGAAAAACAAGGAACTCATGAAATATTACACAAAATGGATGACCATGAGGACATAATGCTGAAAGATCTCAGTCACAAAAAGACAAATATGGTATAATACCACTGTTATAAAAGAGGACTGACATAGGGGTTGGGGGGAGACAAATAAAGATGGAATAAATAATGTATATTGGGTTGAAACAGATGAGGGAGAGAAGTGCTTAAAAGGGATATATGATTAGATATTATTATGATAGGAGTTCAGAACAAAGGTAGCATAGTAGAGTGTACTTGGGGGAGGGAATGAATAACAATGAAAGAATTATTATTTTACTTTTCATAAAGAAAAGTGAATTGGGGGGAGGGTGGACAGGGAGAAAAGAGCAACAATGAATGAATGGAAATCCAGTCTCTGTAAACTGTCATTAAAATCAATCTAAAATAAAATTTTTAATAAAAACCCACAACAACAAATAATGCTGGGGAGGTTGCGAAGAAACTGGAACCTTTATTCACTACTGGTGGCAGTGTAAAATTGTGCAATCACTATGGAAGGCTGTACAGCGTTTTCTCAGAAAGTTACAAATAGAAATACCATTTTGACCCAGCAATTCCACTACTGGGAATTTACCCTAAAGAAACCATAACTGCCACCCAAGCAGATATACGCACACCCATGTTTATTGTGACTTTTTTCACAATAGCAAAGTGCTGGAAACAACCCAAGTGCCATCAACACACGAATGGATAGAGAAGCTCTGGTATATACACACAATGGAATACTATGCAGCACTGAAAAACAAGGAACTCAAGAAGTATTATACAAAATGGGTGACCCATTAGGCTGAGTGAAATATCTCAGTCACAAAAGGACAAATATTGCATAGGGCCACTGTTGTAAAACGGGACTGACATCAGTGTTGAGGGAAGACAGAGAAGGATGGGATGAATGACGTATACTGCATTGAAATAGATGAAGGAAAGAACTGTTTAAAAGGGATATATGATAGGGTATTATTGTCATGACAGGAGTCCAGAATGAAGGCTGCACAGGAGTGGACTTAGGGGGAGGGATTACATAACAATGAAAGAGTTTTTCTTTTACTTTTCAAGAAGAGTGAATTGGGAGTGTCGGGGGTGGGCAGGGAGAAAAGTGCAACAATGAATGAATGGAAACCCTAAGTCTCTGTAACCTTTCATTAAAATTAATTTAAAAAAGGGTGATTAGAAAAACTTAAAACAACAACAAAAACCCTCTATCCCAAGGCCTCAGGAATCAATGGGGCAGTACTGGATATGTTCACCAATGTGTGCCAGGAAATTTGGAACATTGGTGCCTGGTTGAAGGACTGGAAGAGATTCTTATCTGTTCCCGTTCCCAAGAAAGGTGACCCAACTGCACATGATTCCCTAAGATTACAACCTTGCAGAAACCTTGCAAGTTGTTCTATTTCTTCATTATGAGTTGGAATCAACTTAATGCCAATGGGTTTGACTTCCGGCATCAAACTCTGACTCAACTAGTAAATGTAAAATTAGAGCTTATTTCCTCTGCACCAATGCAGAATTTTTTATTACCTTACTATGGCACTGTACCTGTGATGTCTCATGAGCTCTTTAAGCTTTGTACATATCACACAAAAACAAAAGACATGAGCCTTGGGTGTTTCCAGTTCCACAAGGACAGGAATATTTAAACAAATATTCACTAAGCAAACAATGAAATCATGTTCTTGGAATGAGGATTCATCTTTGTAACTTGTTCAGAATTTTTTACATCTCCTTAGGAATAGACCCTCAGTAAAAGTGCACTGAACTAATTTAACCTAGTATATGTTATCTTAAAAAAAAATCAGGATCACTGCATTCAGTTCTCACACACTTTTAAAATAAAGCCTATGCATTTATTTTTTAACACTTGGTAGTTAACATAACTAAAACAACTTAATAAGTCTCACATTCTCATTATCAAGAAAACAACAAAAATTCTTCATAAGTGGATCAACAGGCAACAGGATTCATTCTACTTGCATACACACTCAAGATCCATGGAAGCAGTAGTCAAGAAAATTAGCCACATTTGGCAAATGTCCTAATAACTTCTTTAACATGCCAAGAGCAGGGATGTCACTTTTAAAGACTATGTTTCACTGGGCTCAAGCTTTGGTATTTTCAACTACTTCATATCTTTGTGAAAGCTGGACAATAAATAAGGAAGACTGAAAAATTGATGCTTTTGAATTGTGTGTGATGTTGGTGAAGAATAACAGATATACCGTGGATTGCCAAAACAACAAATGGGTCTAGAGGAAGCATAATCACAGTACTCTTTAGAGGCAGGGATGGTGAAACTTTATCTCACGTATTTTGGGAATGTTATGAAGAGAGGTTAGTTCTTTGAGAAGGCCATTAGACTTAGAAAAGTAGGGGGTCAGTGAAGGAGAGGAAGACCTTCAAAGACACGAACTGATACAATGGACTTGAGTGCAGCAGACACTGTGAGAATGGCACAGGACTGTAGATGTTTCAATCTGTTACACAAAGGATTTCTATGAGCTGGAATCCCTTGACAGCACCTAAAAACAATTATTAAAATGGTCTTTTTATTACTTATATGGAATGAGGAAGAGACAAGAAGAGAAAATGTCAACATCTCTCCCTCCCTAAGAGACCAAACAATCAATTATGATGGAATCTGATCTAATGATAATAGTTCTCAGTTGCCACTTTATGGGTGGAACTGCATCCAGCTATTACCTAAAAAGTGCTGGGGAAGTGAAGCTGAATATAGGGGACATTCTGACGTCTTGAACTCCTCTCTTCTATTTCCTCCAAATCTACCTAGGCCAGAAACTCTTTTGTAGGTCTATCCACCAGATTTATTCATATCCTCTTTAGAAAGTATTAACAAACATGCAACTCACCAATTCAGACTTGGTTCACCCATGACCATCTTGGAGCTCATATTTCTAGATTTGTTTCCCTCTTCATCACAACCAGTGGATGTTAAAATCCCTTCAACATCTACACTCAACTGTTAAAAAAATAAAACGGTCATAATAAAACACAGATGATAGAGGCAAAGCCTAATAATTCAACTAAGGAAGAAAAGTATCCTTAATTGATTTGGACACTTAACACAAAATATTGCAAGTTCCCCAGGTTCTTTGTATCACAGCAGTAATGATGTAAGATGAGTCATTTTCCACTTAACTTCTTGCCAGGAGGGGCACTGTTAGGACTCTCACTGAGGAAATAAGAGCTGAAACATAACGGTGTTCTCATTGCTTTTAAACTCCATCACTTAATTGCAAGGAGCAGAGTATTAATTCACCTGCTGCACTTAAATGTGCTTCAGTTTTCTTGACCTTAACACTTAAGGGGCCAGTTCTGGCAGACAATGCGGGGCAAAAGGTCCCAAAATATCAAAAATCTAAGACCCGAAAGGGTCTTTTCTAGGAGAATGGTACACTTCAAGATTCCTGGCAACTCATCAGGTATTTTCCAGGATCACGAGATTCAAGTCCCAGCAACTAATCTGACCTTTTACACGATCACCTAAAGGTATAGCCCCCCTCCCCGTTCAATGCTTCATCATCCCTGGCCAACTGATTGAGTGGTTTGTGACTACAGAGTCAAATTCAGGAGTTGGTCTTCCATTTAATTCAGTGGGAGGCAGGGAAGAAAAGGTTAATGAAGCCATCTCCTGCCCTCTCATCCTCCAAAGAAAACTGGGTACGGGAAAGGTAAAGAAAGATTTAAGACAAAGTTTCAGGTAGGAAGGGGAAGGCCAGGAAGGGTTGGAGGCTGCGCCGGCGCGGAGAGCAGAGGGCCCGGGCCCGGTCGAGGGAGCAGCCATGTTCCCCCGTCCCGCCCTCACGAGGGCCCGGCTGAAAGGGCTGCGCCCTCCCCTCCGCGACTCCACAGCCAGGCAGCCTTTCCGCCCACCTCGTGGTCCACCGCCGCTCCGGCCTCAGCAGAGGCCCCCAGAAACTCCTCCCCACTCTTCACAGCGAGCCGCGCACGCCTGCGCACGCTAGAAAAGCTTTACCGAGCGGGCCCGGCTGCGTCCTCTCGGCCCTGCGTGATGACGTCATCGCTTACGGAAGCGGGAGGGGACCGTGCAGTGGGGAATAGAGGCGCCTCCCTTTACGTACTCTGCTTTTGGTTCAGTTACCGAAAGGCGAATCGCGATTTGTGGGCTGGTTGGAGCTTGAATTTGATTGAGTGTTGTCAAGACTTTCAGGATCAAGAGGTTCCTCGCCAAGAAACAAAAGCAGAATCGTCCTATTCCTCAGTGGATGCGAATGAAAACTGGCAAAATAAGGGACAACTCCCAAGAGGGAAATAGTGGAGAAGAACCAAGTTGCATCTCTAAGAAGTCGTACACATGATGACAGCATACGTAATAAACCCAACTTCATGAGCATCGCATGATGTCAAGTTGACTGACAAGCTACCATGTCAAGTTTAAAATTATATCACAATCTAATTACTTCCCATGTGGTTTCTATGCACCCACGTTTTCAATAAATACTTGAGACCTTCAATATGGATTGAAGCTCAACATTAAGAAAACAAAGATTCTCTCACCACTGGGCTAATTAACACCATCATTACGGAAGGTGAAGAGATTGAGATCGTTAACAGTTTTAGTTTTAGTTTGCTTGGTTCCACAATCAACTCTCTTGGAAATCAAGAAACTGAAATGCATTGGGAAAGTCAGCTGTCAGGGACCTCTCCAGAGTACTGTGGAGCAACGATGTCAGGCCGGAGACTAGGGTGCACCTTATCTGGGTCATAGTCTTCACAATTGCGTGCTCTGCATCAGAGAGCCGGACAGTGACTAGGGATGAAAAAGAATTGATGCCTTTGAGCTGTGGTGCTGGAGAAGAATGTTGAGTATGCCATGGAGTGCTAGGAAAACAAATAGGTTTGTCCTGGAGAGGGTGAAACTGGGCTGCTACTTGGAGCCAAGAATTCTGAAGCTTCATCTGACATACATAGGGCATGTTGCAAGGAGGGACTAGTTCTTGGAGAGGGACATCATGTTTGGGAGGGTTGAGGGACAGCACAAGAGAGGAAGACCCTCGATGAGATGGATTGATTCAGTGATTAGGGTAATTGGAGTAGGTGTGTTGGAGACGGTGAGATTGGCACAGGATAGAGCACGGTTTAGGGCTCTTGTACATAGGGTCACTATGTGTCGCAAGCAGCCATATGGCACATAAAAACAATAGCAACATGGTATAAATATAGATTGAAGTTCAACATCAAGAAAACAGACTCTTAACCACTGGACCGATTAGCAGCATCATGATAGTGAAGAAATACAAGATTGTTAACAGCTTTAGTTTGTTTGGCTCCACCATCAACACTATTGATAACTGCTGTCAGGAGAGCCAAAGATGTATTGCATTGGGGGAATATGCTGTGAGGATTTCTCCAAAGTTCTGAAGAGCAGTGATGTCAGTTTAAACAGAAGAGCAATGATATCAGCTTAAAGACCAAGGTGTGCCTGATTCAAGCCACAGTCTTTGCTATCACATGTTACGCATCTGGAAGCTGGGCAATGAATAAAGATGACAGGAGAAGAATCAATGCTTTTGATTTGTAGTGTTGGTGAAGAGCACTGAATACCGTGAGAATTACCAAATGAACAAACAGATGTTTTGGAGAAATTGCATGCAGAGTACTCGTTGGAGGTAAAGATGGCACAGTTTTTGTCTCACATACTTTAGCCATGTTGCTGGGAGAGGTAGTTCCTTGGAGAGGGAAATCCTATTTGGAAAGGTGGAGAGTCCATGAATGAGGGGAAGAGCCTAAAACAGATGGAATGACAAGGTGACTACAGTAATGGGCTCAAGCATGTAAGAAATCATGAAGATGCCACTGGATAGGACAGGATTCAATCTGTTTTCATAAGACACCTAACAACAGCAATTGGAATGGGAAATTTTGTGATTTTTTTTGGGTAGTTTTCCATCTAAAAGCAAAGGATTGGTAACATTTTTAAATATTGAAAGTGCTGATAAACTCTGTCAGTATGTTTGTAGGATTCTTTGAAAGGAGTAAATGAATTAAAGTTTGAATCTGTGCTCAGCACAGTACAAGGTATATTTCTGTTAAAGCAACCAGACTAATAACATTTTCTCTCAGAAAAGTGGCTCAGAAAGGCCACTCAGGGTCTAGCACTTAGTTTTATTGTTACTCATTAATGAAGAATTTATTGCTTAGCATAAATTGTGCATAGTAATGGAAATACAGAAGACTAACACTGTGCACTGGTTTTCCAACAGTTTTTGATCTTTGGGAATTCAAAATGTTTATATTAAGTTATAAAACCAAATAGAAGAGGATAAGCTGCTTGGCATATGTACATTGGCAGGATTATGTGGATACAGACAGGAGGCCAGAGAGCCTCTCTGAATTTCAGCTCTGAAGAGATTTATTGCATACTTCATCTATGCTCCAAGGAGTCTTGCTGGTGTAGGAGGTTAGGTGTTAACCAGAAGTCTCAGTGCTACCCAAAAGAGTAGCAGTTCAAAGCCACCAGCTTCTCTGAGGTAGAAAGATGCAGTCTTCTCCTGTTAAAAAAAAAAAGGAAACCCAATGGAGGACTGTTAAGAGTTTTAATCCATTTAAAAACAAACAAGAAAAAAACCCCCAAACTAGTTGGTTTAACTATATGCTAGGACTAGGGGAGCTCTGGTGGCCTAGTGGCAAGGAGCTGCAACTACAATTCCAGAGGCGCACGGTTCGAATCCACCAGATGCTCTGCCGGGAAAGGAGGGACAATCTCCTCCTGTACCAGTCAGATCTGATTTGATTGTACACACATACAAAAATAATAAAATTTAAAAAAACACAAACTATATGCTAGTGCTAGGACTCTGATGACAGTTTTCATCTGGAGTTGTGCTGCTAACCTAAAGGCCAATCCTCTTTGTTGGCTTGAACTCAACAGGGGCTTCACTAGAAAACATTAGTAACCTCCTCCCGGGCAATTTACAGCCTCGAAAACCTAATAGAGAGTCAGCGATGAGTCATTTCCAACTTAATGGAAGTGAGTTTGAGTTTAGATTCTCAGGGTACTTGGGAAGAAAGGCCTGGCAATCTACGGGGGGAAAAATTATCCATTGAAAACCCTACAAGGCACAGTTCTACTCTGACATGCGTGACCTGGAATTGTCCCCACAGCAACTGGTTTATACTATGTGCCAGCTTGACATTGTCAGCTCATGTTAAAAAATTTGCATGTTTGGAAAGGTTGAAAAGGGGGTTCTAGACAGACAGGTCAGCATTCAGAACAGCTCTAACCTACTGTATGAACAGAAATTATCAGGAAGGTATGTTCTTAAGTTTGGAATGATATTGTTTAAAAGTTATGTTAACATAAAATTACGCTTTTAAAATCTTCTTAAATACAGAGACTTTTAGTGCATTCTGGCTAAAATGCAAAGTTTATGAAAGGAGATGTCAACAGGAGCTGTCAAGTCAATGCTGACTCATAGCTGCCCCAAGTAACAGAGCAGAAGTTCCCCATAGAGTTTTCAGGGCTATAATGTTCATGGAGGTCTGGTGACTTCTTGTTGTTAAGTGCCATCGAGTTGCCTGTGACTCATAGTGACGCTGTGTACAACAGCTCTGAAGGCTGCCCTATCCTGAGCCAGCCTCACTGACTCTAACACACCTACCCCCATTGTCCCAGTTACTGTATCAATCCATCTCATTCAGGGTCTTCCTCTTCTGTGCTGTCCCTCTTCCCTTCCAAGTATAATGTCCTTCTTTAAGGATTGGTTCCTCCTGGCCACATGCCTAAAGTATATGAGACAGAGCCTGGTAAGGAATTGTCCTGCCAACACATAGGTATGCAGTTTGAATCCATCATCTGCTCCATGGAAGAAAGATGGGCAGTCTCCAATGATTAACTGCCTCTGAAAACCCACAGGAGTGTCAGCAGGGTTCTGACTCAGTGGTACACAACAA